AAGTACTTTCTTCTTCACAATTTTATATATTATTAGCATATTGTTGTGTAACTGTAAATGAGCCGAGTCGAGCGGATCTCGAGGTCTTAACGACCCAAACATGGCTCGGCTAATCAAGTAAACGAGCCAGAAATCGAGCTCGAGTTCGGCTCATTTATCAATATTAACGAGCCAAACTATAGAAAAATCTATAAAAAAATCCCTCTTCAATCCTTATCGAGCCGAGTAGAGCTCGATTCGTTAATGAAACGAGTTTTAAGCAGGCTCAAACTCGACTCGTTTATCAAACGTGCCGTGCGCACGAGCGGCTCGTTTCTCTTAGAAACTATATGTATAACACATAATTCCTTGTAGAAAGATATATTTAATCACTGGAAAAAATACAAAATGAGTATTTACATTTATTGTTCACTTCAAATTATGATCACATGAGGTTTGTTTTGCAATTCACAAAAGTAAATTGTTTTGTTATCTCATATAACACTTGTATACTCTTTATTATATTAAATAGGGTTGTATACAAATCGAGCCGAGCTCGATCGCATGGTGCTCAAGTTCAAACTCAAAAAGCGACGCGTTTTATTTAATAATTCTAACATAGGTAGAGTCGAGCATGTGCTGACATATATCAAATAATGTCGATCATCATAACAATATTTGATTAGTGTAGTCATCATTGAATAAAAAATAAATCATTTATAAACTTGTCTAATTGATGATAAAAACAAAAGACCAACAAAAACAAAAAAATCAAACTTTTTAATTGTCTTGAAGCTAAAACATTTCAAAAAAATAATTCACATCATCACATGTAGGTAAGTACGTACTTATCGCGTCACCAAATAAGTTATGTGTTGAATGAAGATAAACTTATGCTTAAACTCAATAAAGTCCATATTAACAAATTACTAGATAAATAACGAATATTACGATGAATCTAATGTTCACATTCAAACGTTTACTTTATAAAATAGTAAAAAAGGTTGTGATTGCGACATGCCAGATCAATTAATATTTAATATGGCTTTTTGTTAACATATTCCACAATAATCCATATAAATTAAGTGAAAAGTATAATCGTGAGAGTGGAACAGGCTCTCTACATCACATATAGTATATTATTTTTCTGACTAATTAAGAGGAATTATGACATGGAACGTGTTATACGCTAGCAGCCTTGACACATTGACTCGATATTATCGAATATTTTTTCTATTATTATTTTACTTTTTAATTTTTGCTTTCATAAGTCAACATTTTACGCATATGGGCCAGCAAAGCCCTTGCTATTTCAAACAAATCAAGAGTAATCTTAAGGTTAATGACTATCAAATTTCTAATATTAATAATACTAACAATAACAATAATAATAATTAAAGAAACTCAATAGATCTAGGATAAGGAAATTTTGATTTTATCTTTCAATACTTATTATTCTTGTTCGTTAACCAATCATGTGATACTAATAATGTAGTAATGTAACAATGCAAAAATTAAAAAAAAAAATCAAATTTATTTCAAAAATTTAATAATAAAAATAGAATTAGATGGATCTATTATCTATAAGGTCACTCATTTTACTGTTTACATCCTAAAGCCCGCGGCTAAATACGTAAGCTGCAGTACGTGTATTATTATTGAATTATACTTTGAATGTGATGGCAAAGATGAGACGTATTTCTAAATATATCAATTTACGTGGACCTAAATGCGTGTTCTATCGTTAGAAAATATCATGACGTTTTCTGATTTATTATCATTTATCAATACACGGCTACATGAAAGGTCCTTATGAATTGGCTAACCAAGAAGTTTATTCTACTCCATTATAAAAAAAAAATAATAATAATAAATAAAAAAATAAAAAATAAAAAATAAAAAAAAATAAAAAATAATAATAATAATAATAATATGTCACTTTAGAGTATTTAATTTGAATTGTTATAAATCAAAGATGAACACGATTATGTTCACATTTTGTTCAACAATTAAATCACATAAAATCCAAAAGGACTCGCCATAAAGCAAACTTTTACCCTCAAGAAAATTGTGTGGAACTTATTTTATCCTCAAGCAAACTGTATGGAAAATTATAAAAGTTTTGATAATGCGATGGCTAGACTGAAATATATGTACATTCAAAAAGGTCATAACACAACATTTTAAATTAAAAATTACGTGAAAGGGTTCGTCGAATCTGATGTGAACGAGATCGGATTTTGAGCTTTTTTCTTTCATACGTTATTTCATTGCTCAGTTTATCAATATTAATAAACTAAATTTAAGACTTAATCGAATTTAATTTGAATTTTAACAAGTCGAATAATAAAAAACCACACAAATATCTTTGTTTTTTGCCTTTAGGGCGTGTTTGTATACAAATATATACGTTCAAAAAAACGAGTTTTTTTTGTTAATAATGATTAATTGCTCTCAATTACATCGATCCTTTTGCATGAATCCCAGGTCGCTCCTTTCCTTTTTTGAAAAAAAAATTGGTATGATTACTTGTTAGTGAGATTTTGAGCTTATATTAAAATAATATTTAAAATAACATAAATGATGTTAACTTGTAAAAATTTGAGAGAGATGGTGTGAAGTGATGATTATTTAAAATTATGTGAGTTTGTGAATAGTGAATTAAAGTTGATGTGATATGTAAGAATGATTGGTTGGTATTATTAATTAATTATATTGGTAATATTGAAGATATTGGAGTGTTAAATTTGAGTTAGATTTTGAGTGTGAATTGAATATGAGTTGAAATAATTGATAAACAAACATACCTTTAATAATTCGAGTTCAGGACTTAACAAATCTAGAGCTTATTTAGGCTATGTTTGGTAGTCAAATAAGCTACCTTATAGGTTATTTGATTAGCTTATAAGCTTCATGTATTTAAATAAGCTCTGATTGGTGGGACGAACTTTTTGAAAAAACTCGAGTTTATCTCATAAGCTGCTTTGTGTATGTTTTCAAATAAGTTCCTTTAAATTTTTATGTCAACTAGCTTATCAGCTAATTTTACTAAACACAATTATCATATAAGTTAGCTTTTCAGCTATATGTCATAGGCTATATTTGGTAAAACTAGTAGTTAAGCTAGTTGATAGTTGATAAGTTAGCTTATAGCTTATATGTAATTTTCGTGCTTATAGCTTATAGTTTATGACTAATCGTTAAAAAACTAGCTGATATGATAAAAGTGTTTGGTAAAATTTGCTAGTTGAAATAAAAATTTCAACTAACTTATTTGAAAAGTTACCTAAATAAGTTTATGAGATAAGCTCGAGCTTTTTAGCATAACTCGTCCTACCAAACAAGACTTATTTGAATACAGGAAGCTTATAATCTAATCGAATAAACTATAAGCTAGTTTATTTGACTACCAAATATAAACATAAGTTATAAACTATAAATTTGAAAAACCACTAATAAGTTATAAACTAATTTATCAACTATCATCTAATTTATC